GAGAGAGAGAGAGAGAGAGAGAGAGAGAGAGAGAGAGAGAGAGAGAGAGAGAGAGAGAGAGAGAGAGAATAGAACCTTACAATAAGAGCATGATTTTGTCTCTTTTGCAGGCTGCTCTTGTTCATGGAGAAAATGAGTTGTGGTTGGCATCGCTGCTGACGTCTGGTATACTGAGAAGCTTGCAGCCTGCTGAGCTTGCTGTCGCCATGTCAGCCCTGGCTTTGGACGAGAACCGAGTGAGAGGCAAGACTGGAAAAAGGGAGGTATGATTTCTTGATACCATAGCATGATTTTTTCGTGCCTCTTTTTTTCCCTCTTCTTTTTGTATACTCGTCTGAGCTCCTCGGGACTCGAACTCGGGTCTGTTTACAAACAGTCCAGGGGGGTACCATTCAGCCACATGTGCTTGGTGGCTCTGTTTTTTCGGGGGGAGGACCATTTCTCGATTTATGCATGTCATCCTTGCGCAGAGGCCATGCTAATAATCTATCTTCTTTTTATTGTTCCGATTTTAACGGTTGTGATGTCCCGACGAGACAGTTTTTCCTTACTTTTTGTTGTTTTGTTTTGGTTGGCCCTGTATTATAGTGTACTTCATCCTTCGCACTCTCTTGCATAATAGGCCAAGTCCAGATAAAATTGGAAAAGAATAGTCCATAGATGCTGCTTGATCGCAGAGAAGAGAGTCCTGGGGCTGCAGGCCCGCACACCGCGGGAATATTGAGGGCGGGCAAGACTGCTTCGCCCGCACACCGCGGGAATTTCGAGGGCGGGCAAGACCGCTTCGCCAAAATCGGGCAAGGAAAAATGACTCTTCCTCCGTGCAATCGGCCAACTGGCCTTGCTGTGCATGTGCATGCGCAGGCTCACTCCTGTATGAGATGACAGCTGCGGATGATCGTGCTCCGGAGGGTGCAGCAGGAGAAGGAAGTCAACCTGCGGTAACAGGCCAAACGTCACTTACTTATACAGTCGCGGCTCCAGGAAGTGGGACCGGAAGGGCCAGCGGCGCGGTAGTCCATCCTTGGTACCTTGAGCTCGAGTGATGGTGATCATAGACGTATTGTGGCGCCACTTGATCACCATAGATGTTGTGGGCGAATGGCATGCAGAGATCCTGAGTCCAGTCAGTGTCCCGAATCTGTGGACCCGAGTCCCAGAAGTCGAAAGGCCGGCAAAGTGAAGTCCCATCCGTCGCGTCATGTCGCAGTCTGGGACCCCCAACCACTATCAACTTCCCAAAACCTGAAAAAGGGGCCGTGACCCGCCCGAGCAGGGTCCAACCGCAGTGGGTGGAATGGGACAATTGCTGGCAAAGGACACAGCTACGCATGCAGAGAGCTCTACTGTCAGATCACCCCTCGCATACATACATCAACCCCAACAGTCAATTCCACCTAGGGCCTCGCCAGATGCCACACAGCACACAAAACTAAAACAAGGAAGCGACTGAATTGGCCCGCATTAGGTGGCAAGAAACACTCGTTTGTTTCTCATCTTGTGTGCCGTGTGGCGAGGCCCATAAAAAAATTCCAGATCCAGATGCCCAAGCTTTTTTCCTTTAAGAGTTCATGTGGCAATCTTGCAAGTATAGGCTGTCCCAATGAGGTGGTTTTGTATTATGACCTCCTCTCCTTGTGTATTTTTGCCTTGTGAGCGGAGCAACATGTTGGGACTGCGTCTGGGACTTGGCATTGGACTGGGTGTGGGACTGGGTATGAGACTGGATGTCGGACTGGGTATGAGACTGGATGTGGGACTGGGCGCTGAACTGAGTCTGGGACTAGGCCAATCACCGGGTAGGGTGGGTGTGAGACTGGGCCAATAACTGGGCTTGGGTCTGGTAATGGGTCTGGGACTGGGTCTGAGACTGGAACTGGAACCGGGTAGGGTGGGTGTGGGACTTTCTCCATGTTGAAGTGATGGTAAGTATCAGGGTTCACTTTGGTGGATTTCCCTTTTCCTTTTTCTTCCTTTTTTTTTTTTGACTTTTTTGAAGTTTTCCCCCTCCTGCTGGTCTCTAGACTCTCTACCATCAACCCGATCCCTACCGCCTTTAGGGTTTAGGCCCTTCAGGGTTTATGTTTGCCTACTTTCTCGCCCCGAACATTACATTACTCCCTGTATCTTATCATGACTGCATTTGGCCATGATATAGCCTGTAAAGTGTATACATTTTTTCATGATGATACGGAGTTCTATTCGGGGGAATAAGTACGGAGATCTATTTTTAAGGGTCTTTATGAGCGTACCTTGGCCCACGATATGGCGGAATAAGGTTGCAATTTTTTTTTTCCTGTGCGCCTGGAACAACCCCCCTATGTGTCATCCTTGGCCCATAGTGTACCTTCCACTGTGTTATTTCCAGTTGACTGCCGTAGGATTCCAACTGATGATCTGATGTCTCATAACCGTTACAAGTCTATCGTACCATATATTTCAGCCGCATGGGCTCGGTAACCTGGGTCTGTACTGCGTGTCCCTCTACTGACAATGTTTTTTTTTTTGCATTATTAATTTATTATAAGTTATAACTTATATTAATTAATTAATTGACACACTTTGGGCTTTCTGCTTGCAACAGACATGGAGACCCTCGGAAGTGTCGGCACTGCTGACGACATCATTGCGAAAGATGGAAGAATTAAAGAAGACACTTCAGGAATTACTGAGGACTGAAGATGTAAGGGAAATGTTGTTATTTTTTGGCCTTCATCCTGTGCAGGGTGTACCCGGTGTAACCTTTGAGGATTTTTACAAGTTTTACAGAAATTTAAAATTTAAAATTTCAATTTTTTTTTTTTTTTAACTTTTTTATGATTTTTTTTCTTTCCCTTAGGGTTTATTTGTCAGTTTGTGGGCTGGCTGGCTGCTAGGGGTTCTCGTAATACTTATGCTGATTCCCTGTCAGGCCTTTTTATTTAAGAGGAACGGCTGAAAGACCTCCCTGTCAGATTAGACAGGTAATTGAATTGGTTGAGCTTTAAAAGAATTAGCTTTAAGCCACTAGTACCTCCGAGCCTGTTTTTTTGCCGACACCCTGAATTTCACTGCGCACCAAAAGTTGCCGAGCCTGGGTCCCATGGTGTTTTCTTTTCTGCTTCTCTTCAGAAATAGGAAAGAAAAAAAAAAAGAACAACGAAAAAAAAAAAGCAACAATGCTAGGGACGTGAAAGCCGCCGGATGCAGAATCTGGGGTGCATGTGAGAGTATGCACTCCCAACGGGGGTTACAGCCCTGCTGAAATCACGGCAGCAGGAAAAAATAAGAAAAAAAAAACTCTTTGGACGTGAAAGCAGCTAGATACCGAATCTGGAGTACAGTGAGAGAATGCCCTCGGAACAGGCGTTACAGTCCTGCTGTAATCACGGCAGCAGAAATAAAAATAAGAACAAACAAACAAAAAAAAAGCAACAACTCTTTGGACGTGAAAGCAGCTGGATACAGAATCTGGAGTACATATGAGACTGCGCCGCCCTCCATTGCAAAGTGTCAGCTGTCCGTGGAATGCACCCTGCCTCGTTGGCAGGGCACTAAGAGCGGATCACAAAAAAAGGAGAGGAAAAGTGGAATGCGTACTGATGTGAGCACATCTCCTTCACGGCCTTCCCTAATGTCCTTTTGCGACCGGGTGAAATGCCGGGGGCTTGTGTCCATCCGCGGGCACACAATATGTCCAGGAATTTGTTGCTTAAAAAAAAAAAAAAAACTCGGCGACTCGATGGGGCGTCTTTTGTGTGCCCATCAGCGAGAATCCAGGCTCTTTCTTCTTTGTTAGTGTTGTCGATTGTGCTGGCGAGCGTCGGGCGGTAAAGTGGGATTCAAAAGGCGATGCCTTAGTTTGATTTTTCTATTTTCTTTTTTTCTATTTTCTTTTTTTTTATCTTCAGTTCAGTAAGGAGTTGTGAGGTTAGGCCACCTCAAGGCCATACTTGTGTTGCTGCTTTGCATTGCAATTCTACACAAAAAGTAGTTTACCCAGATGTCTTTTTTTGTGTGTGATTTTGCACTGGGGCTGGCCGGGACCTGGTCGGGACCTGGTCAGGACCTTGTGTGGGACCATGGCCTGCTGGGCATTTGTGTGACCTATCGTTGTCCTTGGTGTCTTTCTCTACTTGATTGAATGTCAATTGTCTACTCTGAAATTTAAAATTTTGGATTTTGACGTTGTCCTGAATTCTCTAATACTACCGTCATCACCAAAATAGAGGGCTTAGGCATTACAGCTGTATGTGGTGCAACTTCCAGTCTAGATACAGCGATAATTACGGGGTGGCGGGCGTTTTATTCGGGTGAAGACGATAGTATCTAATACAGCCGAGCACGAGTGTGTGGCGTTGTAGCCAATGATGGATCAGTACAAGAATGCTGATGAACGTGGCTCGAGGAAGAAAGGAAAGAAAAAAGAGTGGGGAAACACACACACACACACACACACACAACCGAGCATCCTGAAGCATCCCAGGCAGCTACAGTCTTCCCCCGAAGACAACGTACGGTCATTATTGCCGAATTTGGTACATATATCAGTCTAAATTCAGCTATAATGACCGTGCGTTGTATTCGGGGGAAGACTGTAGAGGCAGCCTGGGCGCCCGGGAAGTCACCCCTCGTCTGAAAAAAGTTGAATTTGCAGTGGAGAGACGATGGTTCTCTTAGCACATATTATATATTATTGACGGTTTGAAAGCAGATGCTACCATACTTTGCCTCTCTTAAAATAAAAAAAGGGAATATGCTACAGTGAAGTTGAGTGCAGTAGCAGGAGTATAATAAACTTAAATAAAGTAATTGAATAAAATTGAATAACTATTTTTTTATTTTTTACTAAATTTTTAGACTTTAGTATTATTTTTTACTAACTTTACTATCAATTTAATATAAGATTTATGACAGCATCCATCATTTTATGAGTTAGGAATTAACAGTCGTTGAAAAAATTATTGGCCAAAATGCAGGTGCGGTTGCCTGTGGCATTGGACTTCAGCCCTATTCACATGGTCCAGGCTTGGGTCAACGGTTCGTCCTGGAATGATCTCCTCCTCGGAACAAGGTATCTATATTTATATTATTTTATAATTGATTGTCACACACACACACACACACACACACACACACACATATATATATTATATAGTGCTGGTCTGTCACGCCAGAAGTCGCGGGTTCAAATCCCGTTTTTTTCCGGGAGGTATGGCTGAGTGGCTGAAGGCATTGGTTTGCTAAATCAACATACAACAAGCTTGTATCATGGGTTCAAATCCCATTTATAAAAGATATATATATGGCTAAAACCAAACAAATAAAAAATATTGACTTTAAAAGAGCACACTTGCGAAACAAACAGGAAAATAGTAGAGACCACGAAGCACACTGAAACCGTTCTTTTGCCCTTTCCGCAGTTCTTTCTTTTCTTTCTTTCTTTTTTTTTTAACATAAAACTGGTTGTTATGGCCCTGGGTCCATTTCCATTTTGGGAAGCATAAGTCCGGTTTCTATTCCACCGCCAAGTCCGAACAAAGTATTACATCATGAAACACACTCAACACTTCCTTCCGTCTCCTTCCTCATTTGCCCTGTTCCCTGAGCTTTCCCGGCCTCCGGCGCCCCTCCGGAGACCGGGCACCACTCTCTCTGCTACTTTGCCCCCTGCGAGCCACACCTTAGTGAATTTTTTTTTGCCTTGATTCTTCTCTGTTGCTCTTCTTCGTCATCTGGCATGGAGTGTCTCGACATATGCCACTTACACAGAATCTCTGCCTGAATCAAGGTCCTTGGTCCTTGTCTCTGCCCATACCTTCTCCCTTGTTGGAGTTGATTGTCCCTCAATGGTTCTGCACCACCTTTCCGTCCAGATGGACCGCAACGTTACCTTCCTGATCATTTTCCGAACCACATTTTCTGTGTCTTGTGGAATATACCCTTGCTAAGGGGTGGACCTGCTACATGCGCTCCCGCCAACGTCGCTATCCTACACATGTGACGTGTCTCTCTCAGTGGTTTCGACGCATGTTACAAAGGTCCTTGTATCGTCCAGTTTCTTCTTCGCCCCCACGATGCTCTTGTCCTGCCCCTGCTTACTCACCTGCTGCTACCGCAGTTTCCACTGCTGCAGTCTCCACTCCTGCAGTTTCTACTGTTGGAGTCCCCACTCCTGCAGTGTCCACTGTTGTGGTTTCCACTGCTGCAGTGTCCACTAGTGCAGTTTCCACTGCTCCAGTTTCCACTGCTGCAGTGCCCACTGTTGCGGTTTCCACTGCTGCAGTTTCCATTGCTCCAGTTTCCACTGATCCAATTTCCACTGCTGCAGTTTTCAGTACAGCAGTTTCCCGAACTGTAATTCCCCCTACTTCAGTTTTTACTGCTACAGCTTCCTGTCCTGCAGCTCCAATACAAAGAACATCACAATCTCTCCGACGCTCATGTCCTTTGCTCCGAAATCTTGCCCAATGCACCCCCCTCTCATCTTTGTCTGTGCTTGGCCGTAGACGAGTGCGTTCCTCCTCACCACCCCCATCTCCTCCACGGTCTCGCTTGCGAACAGACTCTCCAGTTTCCATTGTCCCCATTGTTCCACCCGCGTTGCTAGGTACAAGTTCAGCTTCTGTTTGCAACACCACTACTCCTCTTGTTCTGTATCACCGACGACATCTGCGGCATCATCACTTGTCCGGGGATCAGCAACCTGTTTCTTTGTCTGCCCCGATTCTCTTTGTGCCTCCTCCACAGGTTGTTACGGTTCCTTTGTTTCAAACGGCAATATCTGCTCCTATGACTCCTCCAGACAGTCCATCTGCCTGCAGGCAGCCACCAGTCCCTACCCAGGATGCAGCCGCTGCCCAGAGTACACTCCCGACTCCAGGTATAGTCCCTACTCAGGATGCAGCCCTAAACGTTGAGGGATTGGAACATGATCTGCCCGGATCGCAGTTGACCCCACAAGGCGTAGACCACATGGGGGATCTGCAAATGGCTGACCAGCATTGTTCGGATGAAACACAATTTTATGCTCCGCCACATGCAGACCACATGGGTGATCTGCGAATGACTGACCAGCAAACAACCCAACACAGTTTGGGCTTGCAACACCATTTGGGTGATCTGCAAATAGTTGGCCAGCATCCAACAAACCAGCCTGAGAACCTCACCAATCTCTGTGGTTTGACAGCAACTAATATTTGTCTTCACATTCGCCATCGCCCGTTTTATACACCATCAGACTTCCTTGCAATCGCCCGTCAGCTTGATGCTGATCTTCCCCAACGACAGCCAAAGGATTGTAATTATACCAGGCTTTACCATTGCTGTCCTACAAGTAGCAATGAGGGACCGTCAACTTGAACTACGCAATGCTCGAGCAGGTGAGTGGTTTAATCCTCCATCCCACATCTCTGCCTGCATTGTGCACGGCCCTGGCCATTACATGGCCATTGTACATGCCTCTGACCACTGGGAGCTGTGCGACAACGGCACCATGGTCCATTCCATGATTGATATTACTGATTTCTTACTCTATGATGCTGTTCTCTTGCCACATCAAACTGTCCGCAACCTCCTTTATGTCGAAGATCATTCCTCTGGCCCCGTGCTGCAGCAAGACAATGCACCAACACTCTGCGACCTTCTCCTTTGCACAACCACAAACACTGTTACACTCGGCTGTAGCCGCCATCGTCTCTATCACAATCACTACAATTATATGGTTTCTGCATCCATGTGTGCAGAGGACTGTCCAACCGTTCCTGACTGCAGGCACCCTCCACATCCGGACACTATATGTCCATTTTGCGGCCATGGGCGCTATACTGAATGCATGCTCTTTTGCGGTGACTTCTTCTTTCATTTTGGCCTGCAATCGACATGCCATTTGTCGGGGGTGTATGGCGGGCATGATCAATGCCACCCGTCGTGGCAATTGTTGCACTGAGAATGCTCAGCTAGGTCTTCCGTGTGTTCATCCACGTCATCCTTACAATGTATGTCCTCTCTGTCGTCAAGGACAGACTCATTCTTGARCCTTTTCTTATCCTCTTTTGCCTTCATCTTCACTCCACACTCCATACTTTCCCTTACTTTCCCTTTATCGTTCTTTGTTTGTCTGCTCTCCATCTCTCCTCCCTGTGTTTATCCCCTCCCCCTTCACTCTTCCTCTTTCTCACAGCGTACAAGTGGGCTGTTATGGCACACGGGGATGGGGGCAGCTCGCCCTCAACTTCATCAACGTGGCGAGCCTTGTACGTGAGAGGCACGGTGAAAGGGGAGTAAAAAGAAGAATGAGTAAAATGAATGGTTTCACTGTGCCCTTCATTTTTATTTTTTTATTTTTATTTTTATTTTATTTTTTTGCCGTTTGTTTTGCAAATTGCGCTCTTTTAGTTCATAGTTATGTGACAATATATATGGTATTCTCCGGTCAGGTCGAGCGGCAGTGGTCGGGGCCGTCACTACGTGGCCATGCTGTGCATCTAGTGCCAGCGGCTTGTCTGGAGTGTATTTTTGGCTGTGACAGACCTTTCTTTGTTTCGTGGGTATTTTGCTTGCTTGTGATGGGGTGTGAACCGACAGTCTGTAAAGTTTTCCATCTGGTGTAGGTGAGTGATAGTCTGCTTTTGCCACAGGTACCTTGAGGGCAGTGGTTGGTGCCCACCTCAGGGTATCAGTTGTCGGGCAGTCATTGATGCTTAACCACAGCCAGGGTTAGTGTAATCAGTTAGGGGATTCTGCAGACTGTTGAGGGTTCAGCCTCCTGATGACTCGGTGAAACTCCGACGAAACAGTTTGCCACAGCCCTCTCTGCCTACGGTTTACCGGGCACCTCTGTTTATATATATATATATATATATATATATATATATATATATATATATATATATATATATTGACGATATATGTATATATATATGGCTGACCAGGATCATATGGATGAACCCCGTACTTGTGCCCCACCCTGTGTGGCCCCGAACGCTGAGGGACTGGAACATGATCTGCTTGGACTGCATTTAATCCCGCATGGCGTAGACCCCACGAGGGATTTGCAAATGGCTGACCAGGATCATATGGATGAACCGCATACTTGTGCACCACCCTGCGCAGACCCCACGGGTGATCTAC